CATGAGTCTTTCTTACTTTCTCCACATAATTTTGCACCTTCAATGTGGACAGGAAACATGGGCAACATGCTTCTCATCATAATTCCAGCTGTTTGTAAGGAGAAAGGAAGCCCATTCGGGGCGCCTGACATTTGCCATACATATGGGATGGGCTATGCTTCCCTTTCAATGGCGGTATGTGTTTTAATCGATTAGTTTGCTTCACAATACTTTCATGTTTGGGATGGTCTCCAATGTGAAATTGTGGTGTTGAATGCTCCATGCCTCCATCTGTTTCAATTTGTTTGTCTGGTTTTTACTTGAGTCGGAGTTATTGCAATCGACTAGTTTGCTTCACAATACTTTCATGTTTGGGATGGTCTCCGATGTGAAATTGTGGTGTTGAATGCTCCATGCCTCCATCTGTTTCAATTTGTTTGTCTCGTTTTGACTTGTGTCGAGAGTTATTGCAACAGAGGTAGTATCAGCTATGAGCTACCTCTTCACTCTTTAGAAAAAAACACTCAATAGCAAAAACTATTAACTTTTCATGCAAGGGAAATCTAATGCAATGTTTGTCTGGTGATTTCTCTTCTTCAGGTATGCGCGGTTTTTCTATGGTCTTATGTGTATAATATTGTCAGAATATCATCAAGTAAGAGCCCCGAAGAGGTTGAAGAAGTTAACGATTCCTCCATAAGTAAATCTGCCAGAGAAAGCTCCATAGCAGAACTCGGGGTCTCTACGGAGCCACTGCTTCAGACAAATGACTTAGCATTATCAGAGCACCAATCTGAACAACTTGCATTGCCCTCTACTAGATTTGATGATAAATCTCAGGTTGATTATGGATCACATTTCAATCATGCATACTTGAAATTAACTAGTCCCTCCGTTTCAATATGTTCGTCTTACTTTCATTTTGTCTTTTTCCTTTTCTAACAACTCTTTAATTTCAACTTTCCACGTGACATAGTGAGTGATCATTTAAGACAAGTGCGCTTTGAATTTTGATCTCTGAGTTCCTGTAACAGGTATCGGTATGGACTAGATCGAGACAGTACATGGGAGTGCTTTCAAAGAAGATGAACCTGAAGAAATTATTAGCCCCTTCTACCTGCGGAGCGGTATTCTCCCACTGTTATCCTATCTGTGTTCTGAACTCTTTTGTATTGCGTGATTGTGTTAGTTCGTATCTAGAACTTGTAATTTGTTGGATGTTTCCGTCAATATGAAAGGGAATTCAGGGTTCGTCTTGTTTACAATCTAGTTATTGTGAGAGTAGTAGTATTGACTATTGGCCTTGTATAGATTGCAGGTTTTGTTGTTGGACTTATACCTCAGATCAGAAATGCAGTTATAGGTGATGCAGCTCCTCTTCATGTGATTCAAGATACAGCTTTGATACTTGGGTATGAGACTCTCTTAACTTGTTTAAATAAACTAGCAGAGGTAGTTTTCGTATCTTAATGCAAGTATTTAATTCATTCGGAGCTATTAGAGCAGGATCCACTTTTGGGGGAACATGAGTCGAAGCAATAACAAGAATATTTCTAGTAGAACATCTTTCACAATCCCTAGAGAAAAGGTTCACTAATAGACCGAGTTATGAGTCATTCGACTCATTCACATCTCGATCATGAATGTATAAAACAAATACTCAAACTTTGCCTCAGCTTAGCAAGTAAAAGTGTAAATCTACACATCTCAACTCGTCTCCACTGTGTTAGTTGAACATTGAATCCATTGTGCCAAAAATTAGCTTAGCCACTTGGAAAGATGGGATGTTTGAACTGAAAAAGGAAAAGTTCAGTAACATAATTAAACAACATAATAGATAAGCAAACACTTCAACTTGGCTTCAGCTGACAAGTAAGCACTCGAGCTTTGAGAGTGCATATCTAGACACTTCAACTTGGTCTAAATTCTCAACTGACAACTATATACTCCAACTCATTCTCATTTTGTGTCTAGATGATCATTTTGTAAGTTGAAGTATTCAACTGACAGAGTGAAAACGAGTTGAGGTATCTAGATATGCATACTCGAAGTACTTACTTGCCAACAAATTAAAGGTCAAGTTTGAGTGTGTTCACTTAAATTGTCAAGGTTTTTGTCTGGTTGAAGAAATTGATATTTACATTTCATCAATGACTGCAGAGATGGAGCTGTTCCGCTTCTAACGCTGATCATGGGAGGTAACCTTTTAAAAGGTTTGAGGGTCTCAGTAGTTCCGAAATCTATTATTGCTGGCATTATCGTTGTCAAATACATCGCGATGCCTGTGATTGGTATTGGTGTTGTCAAAGGCGCTTCTTGGTTAGGCTTGGTACATGATGATCCATTGTATAAGTTTGTTCTTTTACTTCATTTTGCACTTCCACCAGCAATGAACATTGGTAAGTTGATTCAACAAGTTATGCTTTTGTTCTATTATCATTTTTATTCGAGTTAATGGTGAAAAATACACCTAAAGTATCTCAGTTTTTGAGTTTCAAAACCTAACTGAACTATCATGTGTGTGAGTTTCCTAGCTGAAATATCATAACCGTTCAGGTAGGAAAAATGAACAATTGATAGTTGAGGTGTGTTTTGAGGAATAGTTAGTGATAGTTCAGGTAGAAAACTCACACACTTGATAGTTCACGTATGAAACTAAAAGTATCGAGATACTTTGGGTGTGTTTTTTGACCCTTCACCCTGCTTCGGATAGACCTTCAACTCAAGTAAAGCATATAAAAAACAGAATGAAAACAAAATATAGTAGCCAATATAAAAATTCATGCAGAGATTGTTATTTCTTTGTGTATATATCAGTTCATCATCTGTTAATGAATGTATCTTTTGCTTCATCTTGCTCTAGTTGTTATAGAGAGATTTGACTGTTTACGTGAACTCGGTGTTATTTGCAGCAACCATAACACAGTTATTTGGAGCTGGTGAGAGTGAGTGTTCAGTGATTATGTTATGGACTTATGCACTGGCTTCAGCAGCACTTACACTCTGGACAGCATTCTTCATGTGGCTTGTATCATGAGCACTATTTCTAGAGGAAAAACGTCAGACTCCACGTGTGAGATTATACTGGATATATGTTATTGTTGTTTGAGAAAAAAACGGAGATTAGAAATGGATTAAATGACTAGGAGAAAAAATGATGGTTCTACTTATGTACAATAAGGATTTGCACCCCAAAAATGGGAAATATGTGTCGAACGTTTACGTCAAATCAATCTAATTTACCATGGTTAAGCGATTTAAGTTATATTTCTGTAATTATGCTTGCCTTTTCAAACATCTAAAAATATCAACTACTCCATATCCAATACATGCTATTAAAATGTCATCAATAAGTGGAAAATTTACAAAGAAAAGTTGTTAAAAACATTTTTTTATCTCAAAAAATTAAATTTAAAATTGTTCTGTCCATTCAGCAGCTGTAAGGTTGATTCTGTCGGAAAGCTGTAATTAGAAAAAAGAAAATAAAATTAATAATGTAATTTACAATAACATATCTAGTGTAATCCTACTACTAGGTGATATCCGAGGATAGAGTTTATGCAGACTTCAATCTCCATGACAATGCTTGATATGAAGTGGTACTAGTACTTAAAACACAATATTACTCAGTTGAGAATGTGGGGAATGATAGATAGAAAAACAGAGCGGATGATAAAACCAGACTTAGTTCACATGGCACAGGGCTCGAACTAGGTCACAAGTCCATCAACCTTCGCCACTTGAACTAAGCCCTCGGGTAGGATGCAGATTAAAGATTTCAATATACTCGCAAAATGATTCTGCTGCTTTCACAGATGTAAAAGGCCAAGCATAGAGGATATCAATGCAACTTTCTTCCTAATACAACAACATACCCAGTATATTCCCACAAGTGGGGTCTGGGGAGGGTGGATGTATGCAGACGTTACCCCTACAACCAACCTTTGTGGGGTAGAGAGGCTGACTAATGCAACTTTCTTCCTAATAGCTAAAGGATTCAATCAGAGAAATGTCAGAAATGGCAAATGATGAATTGCTCCCCCTTCATTACATGGAAAAGTAAACAAGACATCCACTTCATTCTAGTACGAAAAGGGGGACGAGTTGTAGGGGTATCGAATCAATACTTTGCTTACCACATATTCAAGCAAGCCACATAATTAGTTACCGCAACTTGAATGCATACAAACTAGCAGATAAAAACTACGTTTCGATCCCAAACAAGTTATGATCAGCTATGAGTCCTCCTTGACCGTGTCACTCCTTTTAAGCTTGAATGTGTACAAACTAGACTAGTAAGAAATTAAAAAGATTTTATACCACCAGAAATAGTTAACCAATAAAATGATCATCAACATATACTTACCACATAGTTTTAACTTGGTTCTATGGTTTCGCAGTTAGAACTCGGGACTTTGGATACATCGACTTGACTCCCTGTAGACTGTATCAATCAATATTACCACATATTCAATCAAACCACAATAGTTACCACAATCCTCATTGACCATGTCGCTCCATTTAAACTTGAACGTATACAAAATTAACAAGATTTTATACCACCGGGAAACAAGTAAGCATTAAAATGATCATCAAAACATATACTTCTATTAACAAAATGGGGCAAAGTATGGTTTTAAGTTCAATCTATGTTACATTATGATCAAATTTTGTACATTACCAAAAGGGAGATTGTCTCCCCGGCATAGAAGAGCTACAACACACGTCCAACCTATCACGAAATCGTGATTCGTGGGACTTCAACATCACAGGCAATGACAAGCACAGACCTTTCTCAACACACATCATATGCCTTGGCTTTATCCTATTCTCAAAGCTAAACGAGAAATATTTTGAATGTATACAAACTAGCAAATAACAACTACGTTTCCATCCCAAGCAAGTTGTGGTCACCTACGAATCCTCATTCATACCACCGGGAAACAAGTAAGCATTAAAATGATCATCAAAACATATACTTTTATAAACAAAATGGGGCAAAATATGGTTTTAACTTCAATCTATGTTACATTATGATCAAATTTTGTACAGTACCAAAAGGGAGATTGTCTCACCGGCATAGAAGAGCAACAACAAACTTCCAGCCTATCACGAAATCGCGATTCGTGGGACTTCAACATCACAGGCAATGACAAGCACACACCTTTCTCAACACACATCATATGCCTTGGCTTTATCCTCTTCTCTAAACTAAACGAGAAATACTGAGGAAACACATTCAATTCCATCATCTCCCTCCCCATTTCCACCACAAAGTAATCGAATTTCGGCTCCAAATTCTCCTCTATACTGTAACAAAACAACGAAGGAAACCTCCGAAACATCACTTTCGCATCTCTCCTCGAAAACCCAATTCTCTGAAAGTAATCCAATCGCGGTATAAACTTAGTCTCCACAGAACAAGATAGCAAACTCGCACATTTTGAAACATCTTCAATACCAATACTACTCTGTAAAAAGTAAAGGGTCGGTCGGAGATGCTTGTCTACACACTTTGTGAGTAGCCGGGGTCGTCGACGGAGAACACCCGGAAGATTTTCTCCAGTGACATGAACTTCCCGGAGCAAAAAAGTGACGGCGGCTCTAAGGGTGGTGGAAATTGGAGCTGTTAAAATCTCCGGACACATATGTAAAACTCTCCGAACATCAAGAATGGTGAGATTAAGGGAATAAAGGAAGCGAATAACTGATTTGAGATGAGATAAAGAGGAAGAAATGATAAGGGGTTGTGAAGTAAGGCAATGTAAAGAGTCTATGCCAAGAGAATCCAAAAAAAGAAGTTTTTCATGGAGATGGGAATTTTTGGAGGTGGGGGTAGGGGGGAGAGTGGAGATGGGGGTGGGTGGTTTTGGGTGTGGAGGGAAAGAAATGGTGGAGGATTTGAAGGATTTGGGAGGAGAAATGGAGGATTTAGGAAGTGAGAAGGAAGAAGAAGAAGAGAGATGGAGAGTTTCTTGCATAGTGATTTCTCACATGGTGTTTGTTGTTTTTGGTATGTAAAGAAGGTAAAGGGAAAAAAATGGAGGATTTGGGGGTATGAGGGAATTTGTACAAGTGGCGTGAGAGAGGGAAATGGATAAGGGGATAGTGAACTAATAATGTAATGAAAATTTTTGAAGTAGGAAGAACAATCAAAAACACTTATCACAATCTTGCCTTAAATACATACTCACAATCTTGCGACATGAATAAAGTACACCTCTAAATTGTCACCAAATTTAATGGTGCTTTTAACCCTTTTCTCTACTTTTTATTAAGAGCGTCATCTCCTACTAGAGTTAGACATCACTTTTTATGTGATGTGACAGATGGAACCAATAAATCATGTACCTATTGAAACCACAATAAATACAATCTTCTCAAATCTCAACATTATTCGGGTCGTCAAAATTTCAAAAACACAAATAAAGAAACAAACTAAAAGAGTAAAGACAGTTGAAGGCCTCTGTAATGTCACACAATCCGACTAACATTTCTGTAACTAAATAAAGTTTCTGCAAAGTGCAAAAGACGATTGGAGGGGAAAAAAGGGTGGGTAGGTGGGTGGGGGGAGGGAGGGTGGGGGGGGAGGCTATGAATTCTATTAAGTTTGACAAATACGGCTGCCTCTAAATATCCGCGAGGTTAAGGGGTGTTCTCATCTAGAAAGGTGTGTTCACGTTGCTTGAAGGCGAGGTCATCACAGAAAGAATTTCTGTGACAGAAGACATGGCACTAAGTGCAGCTTTCAGGACATCTTGTGAGCATCCAGGCTTCACGATTGTACGAACCTGGAAAGTAGATTATAAAATGAGAACGCATGCACCAAACCAAAGTTTAAAAGAGAACGAAATCGTGTTGCCAAGCTTTGATAGCAGGTGGCCATGATAAATAAATGATGCTATAATTTACTTAAGTGTAAATATATTCTTGCAGAGCAATCATCACCTTGTCCAGATACTCTTGCAATTTCTTGATACGACCCATGTAATCCTGGTCTTCAACGCAAAGAGTAATAGCTTTTGCGTCAGCACCAGGGCCATCAAACTGGAGGGGGCCTGGGTTTCTGTAAACATCATCGAGCAAGAACTTTGTCGCATTTTGACTCAATAATCTGCACGAAAATAAAGATACACATCAGTTATATGCACACAATTCACTTTAGAATGCCAGCTCTTAAGAGAGCTTTTCCTGGGAATTCACGTCTACTTCCTACTTTTCAATCACAAAAGCTCAGCTTCCTCTTAGGCTTCGCTTGTAAATAAGCAAAAAATCAGGACATAGACATACTCGTATGATTTGCCCTTCAAATCTACAGTGGCAGGATGAACAGCAGGCTTCCCGAGTGATGCCTTGCCAGGACCACGACCATACCGCTTCACACTCATCATAGCCTAGATTTTAAACAAATAGTGATAAGGTCAATCTATGTCCTCTTTTCTTTTGGTAGGTAATGGACAGTGTGAAACATAAGTACAAAATACAGTAAGGAGCTTACAGTTATAGGAGCAGCCCCACAGCGCCACTTGTTGACAGGATTCTTCAAGTTAGTCAATGTAGCCATGTAACCATTGAGGCCAGCAGCCAATATATGATAGCAGACGTGACCAAGTACCTGGCATTGTAATTCTTGTTACTATTTTTCTTATATTGTAACAATCTTATACTTCCACTGTCCCGGGACAATTTATTTATGTGATGTACTTTCCTTTTTTGTTTGTCTAGATCTTCCTATATTTACAAACAACTTACTTTAACTTTCCCATTATACCATTAATGAGTTGATATATAGTCATACAAATATCTATTACTACCTCCATTTCAATATGTTTGTCTTATTTTCACTTGACACAAAATTTAAGAAATAAAATGACTTTTGAATCTTGTGGAAACTAAAGATATGTAGAATATACCAAAATGCTCTTTAATCTTGTGGTCTTAAACATGTCACGTGAAAAGTTGAAATCAAAGAGTTGCCACAAAAAGAAAGAGACATTCTTTTTTAAACAGACTAAATAGGAAAATAAGACAAACAAATTGAGACAGAGCGAATATTTGTTTGACCATAAGGTTCAAAAGTCTTTTTTTTCTAAAACCACGTGAACAACATCACATAAAAATAAGACGGAGGGAGTTGTCTCACTTGAAAGAAAAAGGAAGGAAAAGCTAGGAAAAATATAAAACTTACATATGCATAGTCACAATCAAACTTTGATGGCAATGATCCCCGAGCTTGATAACCAAAGAAATGGCAAATTGCATTAAATTTCTTTCCCTTGTAAGTTCCTTCTTTCTGTAAAGTCATACAAGATACAAAACAGGTTTAGTAAAGGTAACGCTGACCAAGGCAGAAAATATCTAAATCATGTGAGATTCACTTTTTCAAATGAAACAGTTATTAGAAGAGTATGTCAATGATTTTGAAGCAAACAAAACTTTACAAAGAAAGATTGCTCAGTGAAAACATAGCAATGGCTGAAGGATCTGTATGACATATGCAGTAACAACCTTATATGTTCAATAAACTTTCGTCCTAGCCATGGACATGGTAATGTAGTCAATACTAGTGGACACGGTTAGGTAGTCAATACAGCAAACTTTAAGCTTCTGATGAAGGACCATATTAAATAGCCATGCCCAGTATAAGTCTAGGTCAAAGCAAATGAAGAGTTCACGTAACATAACCTTGTTTTTGGAAAGAAAATTTAGCAAGCAGTTTTAAGATTTAGCATTCCAACATAAAACGTTATGAAGAAGAGCTGTATTTCATGAAATAAGGAAAGAGAAAAATTGATTGAATTTTCCAAGGTCTAAATATATTATTCACCCCACTCCAAACTTGCACAAATGTGGTCCGTATCCTCTCTGATAGATGATATGATTTTGTATTAAAGAAAATCACTCTTGTAACTTTGCATCAAATAATTTCGCCAAGAAATGTAACACAACAAGTCAACAACAATGTAGAGGTTGGCAGAAGTCAGTGAGCTACTCACTTACAATCTCAAACGCTTATAGTGGTAAAACAATATACATATCCTTGCTAAAATTTCTTTCCTGTTTTGAGATGGGATATTTCATTTATTTGCTCCTAAAGAAAAACCATACGCAATACTACATGCAACACTTTACATTCCAGAATAGAGGAAGACGGAAGCTATACCAATCGCTTATTCATTTCTGTTTCCACCAGATGAGCTATAAGTTTCTCGGTTTCAATCTGTGAGGAAGAATAAAAGAATAATCAACTTAAAATATAGTTCATACGTATCACCAAACACACCATCCAAAGGGAGAATTAGTTACCTGTGATAGCTGAGCAGAATCATCTGATTCTGGGTGCAAGAGGAGCTACAACATCATAAGCATTTTATGTAAGAACAATCCAAGTGAAACTTAACTGTCATATCTGAGTACTCAGTTCCAACAATACATAAGTGGTACCTGCTTTTTTATAAAGGGCGGCAAGAACTCAAAGAGCGCAGATGCCCAAGGTGATAGTTGAGAGGAAATCTTATCAGTGGAAACGCCTTGTGTGAGCAAACCATGAATTTCCTGTAACACACAGGATCATAACAAGGCACTGTGAAAACCAAAAATTCCATTCCCAAACAAAGAATCATAGAAGCCCGCCAATTAAAGTTTGGAATTCTTTTTTGGTCTATCCGTTCTCTTTTCCCTTGTTAGAATAGGAATAGGTTTATACAATCCTATTAGAATAAGAATATGTTTATACAATTCTATTAGAATAGGAATAGGTTTATACAATCCTATTAGAATAGGAATAGTAATAGAAATAGAAATAGGAATACTAAATAGTATCCTACTTGGTAAAGGATTGTATTCTAGGGTCTATAAATAGGGTCTCAATGTAATAATGTACACAACAACAATTCAATAATATTCTTTTCCTATATTTCTCACATGGTATCAGAGCCTCTACAAACTTGGTAGAGAATTAAAGAGCTTCCGCTGCCGGCGGGTGGCACCCATATATGCTGCCCGTCTGGCCAATGATTATGTTAACAAAAGTTGGGTCACCGTGTATCTATCCGGTGACTATTTTCTTATATCTAATTTGTGTAGCACCGTGCTATCATTCCGGTGACTACTTTTTCATATTTAATTTTTGTAGCACCGTGCCATCATTCTGGTGTCTACTTTTTTGTGTAGCACTGTGTCATCATTCCAGTGACTACTTTTTCATATATAATTTGTGTAGCACCGTGACATCCTTCCGGTGACTACCTTTTTTGCATATCTTATTTGTGTAGCACCGTGCATCTTTTCGGACTACTTTTCATATTTAATTTGTGCAGTACCGTGGATTTTTTCGAACTATTTTCTCATATCTGAGTTGCATAGCATCATGTGTCTTTTCAGTGACTCCTCAGATTTGATTTGCATAGTTCCATTCGTCTTTCCGGTGACTCCTCAAATCTGATTTGCGTAGGGTTGTGCCATCATTCCAACCCTACCCGTTTCTTTTTCAGTAGGGTCGTGCCAACATTCTGACCCTACCCATATTATTTCTCTTTTTCAATGGGGTCGTTCCATAAATTCAAACTATCCTATATAATTTATATTTTCTAGTTGGGTTGTGACATCATTCCGACTCTACCCATATAATTTTATTTCTTAGATTGTG